GTGTGTGTGTGTGTGTGTGCAAATGGGAGTGGGTGTGGGACTGACTGGGTGGAATGACTGTGATGATTCCTCTATACTGCTCACAGCTTCTTTTCTCAGCCAGAAGCAGAGCAGAGAAGAAACTCCTTGGCCAGAAAATCATATAAACACATCATTGTAAATACATTAAGTCTCTCTCTCTCCTTACTTTTGCAGTGACAGTAAACATAAACAGATATATTGTACTGTGAACTTCTGCTCTTTAAAGCAAAGGAGCAATGTAATAAAAACAAAATGTGATCTTTTTTGTTTTTGTAAAAAGTTTGGTAAAAAACAATGTTAAAGCACTTGTGGAAAAAAGGTTTTCAGTTTGGATTTAAAAGATGCAATGGATGCAAGGCATTTCCAAAATCATCAGGGATCGAGTTCCAACGTTGTGCTGCATAATGACTAAGGGCTGCCTCTCCCTGTTTACTCTTTGTCCTGGGTACCACTCGCAGACACTCACTCCATGAAATAAATAAAGGATCCTGTGGCTTACTGACAGCCAGTGTAGAGATTTAAGAACATGGGCGATGTGGCCTGTTCTTTTGATTTAAGTCAGAACTCTTACCTCTAAATTTTGAATAAGCTGTAGGGACCTGAATGTGTTTTTAAGGAAATCCTGTTAAAGTCCATTGCAGTCCTCAATTTTGAGATACAAGCATGTTTTTTTTATTTTTCTAAGTGTACAATCCTAAGTATTATTTTTATTTCCTAAACATGGGTAAACATAGGTAATGTTGATCTACCATTTACCATCATAGCCAGGAGTAATGCTGTGATGCTAATAATAGCAAACTTCCATTAACCCTCCCTCTCACCTGCTCTCTCAAAGGAGCTCTTACGCTGTCTGGCTGCGTGAGACAAGGATGCATTAATCTACCACCATTGATAAGAGACACAATGTAAGAGCCAGAGATATACAGTGTCTGTTTATATCAGGAGCAGTTAATCAATCACTAGCTGCTGCTGGTGGTGGTGGTGGTGGGTGAGATGAGATGATGATTTTTACACATTCTTCTTCTCTCATTGACAAGTATGTGGGGTTGATTCCTCTGCTGGTTTTCTGAGGACTTCTTTAAAGAAAAACATCAACATTGTCCCTGTCAACATTCTGCTCAGTGTGGGAGTGTAACAGGACACGTCTGTATATTTTTTGTCTTGCCGAAGTCTACAGAGTCGACAGTCTTACAGCTTGTTTCATACTGTAACGTCTATTTTCTCACAGATCTCAATTATCCTCATGCTGTAGGGATCTAATGTGCGATGCTAACAAAGTGATCTTGCAAAGCCTGAAAAGAGGTCACATGGATGAGTGTACTGGATTATTTATATTTTCCAGATAAGATAAAGTGTTTTTTTAGTTTTTACTCAAGTTTACTGAAGTTTTTATGAGTTTTCTGGTTGTGTGACTTATAAAGATCATCAATACAGTATCATGGCCATGCTTTCTCTGAGCCTGTGCTCCACTGTTTGGCACTTAATGGGAAGCGGCCATCCTCCTCAGATTAATGGCTGGTGCATCACATTCCCTCACCATCTTTATGGTCTGACACAGATTCCAGTAGCTGGTGTGGCCTCATGGGATGATCTATATGTGGATGTGTCGTGCAGATGTGAAATAGGCAGGTGGTGTGTGCAGGGTGATGCTGTGGGAGGATCAGTGAATCTCTCACCTCCTGCAGATGTTTTGTTGCACGGCCTAGCGCCTCCTCGTACCCGGACTGCCGCAGCTCGCTCAGGCTCTCGTAGTACTCATCTGGGTCGTCGTTTTCCGTGAACAGAACCTGCGAGAGGATCTTCCACCCACACGTGTCGAGCGCGTAGCCCAGGTACACCTGCAGCCTGTAGCACAGCTCATCCATTTCGGTCTCGGGCACCTCCGCCGGGCCGAAGAGCACCGTCCACATCCCGACCGGCTCCTCAGGAAACACCGGCAGGCAGGGCTCCAGGTCCGAGTTCACCGAGCACAGCTGCTGGTGGACGGCTCGGAGGTCCTGGAAGGAGAAGAGCCCGGCCCAGCTGCAGTCCTCCCGGCTCAGAGCGTCCAGCTCCTCCAGGTCCAGGCTGTCCAGAGAGGGGGACTCAGGATCGGGACCAACGGGAGATGCTGCAGGTTTGACCACAGTTTGGATTTTGACAGGACTTGCTTTAGTCGCCATCGAGGACTTGGCTTTGACCGCAGCCCCTCCGGATCCTCTCCCAGCCGGACTCCTGCTGGACACTTTATCCCTGACAGGACTTTCGGGCCATTTTGTTTTGTCTCCATCTTGACCAGTCGCCTCCACCAGCAGCATCGGATCCCTGCCGAAGCTTCTCCTCTGCACCGTCCTGTTGTGACACGTAACCGCAAATTTACCCTCCACTTCGTTCCAGGCCACGATGAAGACGAATTTATGCTTCTCCTTCTCCTCGAAGGCGTTGGGGCGGACGGCTACCCAGCCCGACTCCAAGTTATCCTCCATCGTGAAGGACATTTCTGCTTAAAGCGATGGACCAGAGACGGTCCCGGCCGCTTGTTTGGGGAGTGGGATGCGGCGCAGTGGGGCGGTGTTTACAGCTGCGTGTTTTACCGAACAACGGTTCCTCTCGGGGGATATTCTGCCCGGAGCGCTGCCCTCCTCCTCCTCCTTCGCTCAAGCGGATGAATTTGGAGCAGTGCGCCGTCGTCTCCCATCTCTGCCCCACCTGCCCTCAACAACTGTTCCTCTGCCCGCTTCACCTCCTAATGTCGCTGTTATGTCTCATGTCTCCTCCGACACACAACATGTATTTGTTTACCAGCTGCGGCGGCGCTCATCCTCTGTCCCCGCTCAGTCCGCTCCAGACCTCCCTCCTCCTCCTCCTCCTCCTCCTCATCATCATCACAGTAACGACGGGACTCGAACGCAGCACCGTTCACACACCAGCGGTATTGTGGTCAATGTGAACGTGTTGTTAGCATTGTGCTAATGTTAGCATCGTCTCACAAACTCACAACAACGTGTTTTCTTCACCATTCACAGGTAATGATGCCGCTTTCATGTGCTGGGAGAAATATCGGAATTCCCAAGTTTTCACAACGTAGGAATTTACTAAACACGGGAACGATTCTGTAGGTTATAAATCAAAACGAAACAAATACTATATATATCAGCATGATAGTCTTTTATCATATATACTTTCATATAGCTCATATTCACTCATTTCGAATTTGTGAGTACATCAGAAGAAAGTTGTGGTGATTTTGACAAGCGTGTGTGTGATTTTTCTGCTGCCACTCAATACACAACATGTCGTGTTATCGTTGTTGTTATTAGAGAAAAGCGTGGATTGCAACGAGCAACGATCGAGCTGTGTTTTCAGGGCGGAGAAGAGAGACCGAAGAAGCGCTACTTTGTCCTGAAGGTACTTGAAAGCAACATCAACTTCAGCAGGGCACGTGAGGACGTGCTGACGTCATGGATCTATGCGTGTCGCTGCAGTGTTTACAAAGAGCAGAGAAAGAATTACACAGCTAAGTACCTCCTTTTTAAAATGATGACATAAATACCGTCTTCCCAAATCTTTTACTCGTTGTTTTTATTTGTATGCATGTATAATTGTGTAGAACTTACATTACTGAAACTAACAGTAACCAATAGTAACTAATACAATCATATAAATGCAAAATAGAACATTAAATACATAAAAGAAAATATTACAATACAATACAATACAATACAATACAATCCCAACAATTGTTGAACATCAATGATATTCCTCATCATTTGATATAAATTATATTCACCTTAAATAAACAGCTGTCCAGGATGTATTGCACTTTCGAATTCTTCAAATCCTTCACATTCATTTAAAAAAACAAGGATTTAAAACTAAAGTTATAGTGATATATCGTTTTTATACAACAACTGCTTGCAATAATCACTCAAATCATTTGGAATTTTTTTTTACAAATGTGCGATTTAAATAAAGAGATGCATTTTGTCTTCTGTTTGAGTTGTCACAGAAGGTGTAGGAGAGAGCAGCTGCGTTGTCCTTGTTTAAAGACTTTGGCTGAACTTTTTAGATGACAGGAGGGGGCATCACATCTGATAACACCAAGAGAAATGCTTTATGGGTTCCAACGGCGATTGCAGCTGCTGCGATGAGCCCTGACCGAGACCCCTGGCACAATGTGTGTGCATTCCTGTGTAGACCCCGGTGTCCTTCTCAAAGTCTAAAACAAATTCAATCAAAGTTTCTCATAAAATACTGACTTATGATGATCTGGCTAAGAATGCTGAGGAGGAGAGGGAGAGGTTTCAAAACAGAGACAGGCTGGTGTTATGGTGAGGTGGCAAGTTACACACTCAAACTCTACAGTCGAAGTACATTCACTTGAGTTTTCTTTATCTTCATCTGTGACAAATAAATTCAGTTTATACATTTAGACGATGGTTTCCAGCTTAAAGAGGATAGTGTTGGCTGCTGTTGAACACATGGAGTGACGAAAATGTGGAAATGAAGTTGATCTGTGGTACCCTCATATTAAGAAAGGGAATAAAAAAAGACATAAATATGTTCATCTTCCTCTAAAGAGAATCTATAGAGAGCCTCTTGAGCTGTAATGTTATACCTGAGGTAAATAAACACTGCCCCGTTGGCTCTCCGGGAGAAGAGAGAGGGTTATTGTCATAAGAACCAAAAGTGGGAGGAACAAGTGAAAAACAACACAGTCTGTGTTTATTCATCCACTGAAGGGAAAATGTTTTGTAGTTTTGTGGCATGATTGTGTAGTGATATGTCAACACAACCTGTGTTTCATTTGTGTATAGAAGATTTTGGAAGCTTGACACAAGTTTTCCTCTTTGCATTAAACTCCTCAGCTGTGGCTTAAATCCGAACCAGCAGTTTTTTTCACTAGACCCAACCATTCTTACCTCAGCAAACCCACATGTTTCTACTACTACAAAATGTTTTATGTTTTCCCAACTTTAGTTGCATTTAATCTATAAATCAGACTCATCTAAGACCACGAACAGCTGCACCCTCTCCACACAAGGGGGCAGTTTTGTTTCTGTCACGGTGTTTGGTTTCTGTCAATTATTTATTCCGACTTTATTCAAGTCCAAAGTGCAAATCACAACAAGATGTGATCTTCAACTTATGGATGAGTATCTCTTATATGAGCTATTATATATGAGCTGTGTATGTTTAACTACATGTTTAACTGTTCAGGACAACACAACCTCTCATTGTTGAGGTGAAGCTCACAGGTGCGAAAATGCACACAAATACTAACAAATACATGTCGACTTTTAAAAGTACATCAATTTGAACTTTCAATTCTGAACTTTTTTCCACTTTGACTTGTTTTAAGGATACACAGAGACAATGTATATTTAACCAACATGTTCTCCCATTGTATATTTTCCGTCATGTTTATAGTAATGCGCTCCAGGTGAAGTGAGGTGAGACTCAATGTGAAAGGTACAAAGACTTCAATGATTAACAATTTGTACAAAGGTCTGTCAGGTTTTCAAAACGTTGGATTGCAAAATGAGATTAAATGTATCACTCCCACTGAACACAGACTAATAGTGTCTACAAGCCAGTAGCCAGTCAGATTCACTTTCAGCCTCTCTCAATGTTATTGTGATTAATAGGCTGAAACACTTGATGACACCAAGGTTCAACTGAAGTTATTATTTTCATTACAACGAGTCTTACAGAGCTCAAATGTGATGGTTAAAATACTCTGTGGCCCAAAACATTGAACTGAATCGAATACCTTTTTATTATAGTGTATTCTTCTTCTAGCCATGGATTTTATTATTTTTCCTGTGAAGCACTTTGTAACTTTGCTTAGATAAGTGCTATAGAAATACAGTTATTAATTTGTATTATAATTACATGTTTTTAATTTGTCCCTCTCTAGGGTCTTACACCACACCCCCTCTCTTCTAAACCAGATATGTTAAACCTGTGTTTGACAAGTCATGTGAAACAGCTTGAGAATGAAAAAGCTCAGAAATATAAGGAAAGCTGCAGTGTAATATTCAGCTAAGCATATTGGGATGATGATGACCTGGTGAAAGGTTTTTCCCAGAAGCCTTAAATAACCCTCATTTTAATTTTGGAAGTATAACTTTTGTAACTTGTAATTATTGACAAAACAAGACTGTTGGTGAAACAGTGATTATTCTTTTAATGAATACAGTTAACATGTTAGAAAATTACAAAAATCAGTGACTCATCAAGTGACTGTGGAGAGATTTTACAGGGAGTAAATGTATTAACTAGTAAAAAAACAGCATAGTAGGTTTGTGAATAGTGTTAGATGTGTGTGATCCACAATAATCAAGCCATCATAGAAAGAGGGTAAAAAACAAATGAATGAATGAGTCTCTGTTAAAGAGCTGGTTAAACACATGGTTGTTTGCACAAAGATTACAACACACTGTGCAGTACAGACACAATTAGGTTGGTATGTTGGATTTAAGCCGATGCTCGTAATCCTCGGCTGGTGTACTCATGGAGGGGCATTTGGGACGTCCAGAAGCAGGCAACAGGTTTACCCAGTAGTCTCGGCGAGACCTACGACAAATTAGGAATTTAGTTGGCTACAAACCAAAACCTGTACTGAGCAGAAACACACACTTCCTAGTTTACCCTCTATTTTTGCATCCTATATGATAAGTGTCACTCAGCACCATACACTGTGTGTACTTTATGGGCCACTGTTTTCAGTCTTCTGTCCACATTCGATGCAGATACTGCAGCGTCATTGAAAAACAGACTAATGTAGGACTGTGGTGCAGTTTGCATGTTCTCCCATCCTCACCTCTCCCACCAAGGTCAGGTGGGATTGTCGGTCTTACCTGGCTCTGACCCAGGGTTTGGTGTGCAGCTCCAGAGCAGCTCCCCAGGGCCCATGCTTCTCTGAGGCAGGAGGGAGGAATCCTCTCTCTGCAGACAGCTCCTCTGATATAGCTCTGATATGATAGGGCTCAAATCCACAGCAGCCACCGATGTAGCGGATTCCTGCATCGTAAGCCTCCCTGGCATATTTATGAATGTCCCAGCGGGTCATTGCTCTGGTCTCCAATGCTGAGAGGAGAGTAAAATACATGATTTATAAAATGATGTCGAAGCTCATCAAGCTACACATATGATGAGTTAACAGCATATTGAGTACTGAGTGTCATTCTAGTTACCTCCGTCAAGCAGGTTATGTTATCTTCTTAGTTAGCAGGGTTACGCAAAAACTACTCAACCGATCTCCATGAAATTTTGCAGAGGGGTGGGGCATGAGCCAAGGAAGAACCCACTCCCACAGTGCATCTGGATCTGAGGGTGTATTCTGGATTTTTCACTTTCTTTAATGTTGTGGGATTTTCAACATTTCCATTGATTTCTCAAAAAATACACTATGGATCTTGATGAAATTTGGTGCATATCAAAATAAAAATCCTCATCTATTGAATTTAATTGTGGTATCATAAGATTACTGTTGGGTCTTGGCGGAGGTATAAGAAAAAAAAATTCTGCACAACACAAATGCTCACCAAAGGGGAACTCTGGTAGGTTGATGTATCCACTGAAGTTGCGCTCAGGGGTGTGAAAGCCCAGCGGCTGGATCATGAGGTGGGCTTTGAGACCAGCTTTCTGTAATCCCTCTTTCATCAGCTTCACTGTGTCAATGCACGTCAGAGGGTCCAAGTGGCAATTTACACCAACAATGTCAGCTCCTGCGCACACACACACACACACACACACACACACACACACACACACAGACACACACAGACACACACAGACACACACATTCAGGTTGTACAGTTGAAATGTGATTTAAAGCATCAGAACACAGGAGGTTGAACGTACCAGCTTTGACCAGCCTGACTGCACACTCTCCAGGTGGGATTCCCTGCATGTCTCCCTGAGGGGAGATGCACAGTGTTGCACCCACTGGTTTACCGCTGGTCTTCAGCACCTGCACTGCCCACACTGCCTCCTCCACGTGATCGACAAACTGCAGGAGACATGTGCATCCGATCAGGAACAATCACTTGGGACACAAAAAGCAGACCTGAAGCAGAGTAATATTCCTTTTGTTGAGCTGCTCATACCTCTACTATAAAGAAATCAGTATCCTTTTTGAGGAAGTCGTCCATTTCTTTCTTAAAAATGGCCTTGACCATGGGCTCATTGCGACTGTTCTCGTAACAGGGCGTCTTAGACACGCATCCAGCGACCAGGGCGTTCCCCTCGTTGGCAACCTCCCTGGCGAGGTCACAGGCTGCCTCGTTGATCTGCGCCCCCTAAATCAGAAACGATAAAATTAGATTGACACTATTGTAAACAGAATAATAGAGTTGTTACTATCTTCACTTATTGCTTGTTCTTGTTTTTTTTACTAACAGTGATGTTGCCGACATTGTCACTGATCTCCAGCTTGTCCTCGCTGCAGTAGAAGGTGAACGTCTGGAGGACATCGGCTCCTGCTCTCAGAAACTCCCTGTGTAGCTGCCGCACTGTCGGAGTGATGGAGAGAGTATAGGCTTGTATTATTGGGGAATAAATGCAGGCAAATAGATAAGCATCTAAGATATCTGCATTAACAGAGTCTGCTGCTCTAATAACTGACAGATTATGTAACATGCACCTGCTTCAGGGTGTTCAACAGCCGCCTCAGGTGTCCACTGTCCTGCCTTCACGTAGCCACGTCGCTCAAGTTGCATTACATAACCTCCATCTCCTACAACCACCTCCCCAGCATTGAGACGCTCCAAGATACCCTGAGCACACACACACACACACACACACACACACACACACACACACACACACACACACATACACACACACACAACATGTACATGTGACATAACCACCCAACTCCTGTAGCTGGCATGGTATGTCACAATACAGTGTGTTCTGTTCACTTGAAAGTCAGGTTCTTTTTTACTGAGAGACTGACACAATGTTTATATATATGTTCAAATAAGTAAGTTAAGTTTATTTAGTAAAGCACAATTCCCAGAGTCACAAAGTGCTTCACATACATTTTATTGCATCTTTCTCTTGCACGGTTTGAATTGTTGTTATTGTTGTTAGATAAAAACATTATATTAAAAAACTATAAGAACATTTGTAATAAGAGACCAAATACTATGCAACAGGAATACTATGAATACTATGATTTCAAACACTACAAAGAGACCAGGTGAGATAAGGCAATCTAAACAAAACATTCCATCCAAATACATCAATACTTCATGTCAGGGTCGTGCACATGTTGGGGGCAGGTGAGAAGAAGGGCACTTTATTTGTTTAAAACATTTGTTTTTAAAGTGACATCTCTGATTTACTTAACAACTGATATTACCCACACTCAACAGTTCACACAGAGACACACTGGCTTCTTTTTATCAGTTAATATTAGTTCAATCAGTCAAATGTGAACTTTAGAAAGTGCTTTAAAAAGTATTATAGACTGTTACTGTTATTACGAGTGTGCTGTCATTTACAAGATAACGTTTTCAATTCATAAATCAGACTGTAACAGTAAGTCTATGACAGTGGTCCGTGGTCTCCACACTGATTTCACATTCATTCAGTTTAGACTTCGGTGCTGCAGCTTAAAGCACTAACTTTGCTACCTTTACTGTATGAAGGTGCTATAATGTGCTAAAACAACATGAATCGATTATGTTCTGTCTCCACGTCCGCATCGCGATGAATCAAGAAATGTCCCCAGCTCCAGTGTCCTCACCACTGAGACGCGGAGGGAGGGAGGATCGAGACGAAGTCTAATCCCCCGACCTGATATTACATTTTTTATTGAATCAAACATTTGTTGAAAGGGAAGCTGTGCACAACAGCACCCCAGAAAAGTGTCTATGGGTGCACGTGAATACTTCATATAAGATAATACATGTTTACAAAACAGCCTCCACAAGTGCAGTTGAACAGTTTTGTTTCTGAAGTTCTAAAGAATAAAGCAAACATGCAGATTTCTGTACAAACCACCAGCTGAGTTCTGCTGTTACCTTGCTCTTCTTGCTCTCCATCACTGCTTCTCTCTGCAGCTGGAACAACTGAGAGCTGTCACACTGCTCTCTGGCCTACTTCTATGAATGTGGCCTGTGTGCGGCAATCAGTGCGCTAATCTCGCGAGATTAAAGAGGTTGTATGGTAAAGCCAAGTGGCACTTAAAACGAATATTTCCTTTTCAGGAAAAGATTGAATATGTGAGGGTTTAATTTTTTGCTTTAGATGTCCAAGAATTATGAGAAAATTAAACTTTTAGTGGAAGGAAAGATCAACTCCAAACAGGACTGGTCAGGCAAAGACAAAAACCTTTATGGTACCCTTTATAATAATAATAACTTGTAATATCATAATCTAAAAATGAGGCAGCGATTTTATTTTATGTTTTGAAGATTTTGTCTGTGAGCTGGACTGAGTGAAAAATACAGTTTCCATGATGCAAAATTTGGTCAATTTAAAAAAAAAAATCTGTGTTACCATTCTTTGTGTTTTGCAATCGAGGGCCACCACACAATTCACAAAGAAAAAAAATAAAAGAAAGAAAGACAAACATGAGCGTGTCATACATTATAATTACTGTCTACCATTCTTGGACTTTGCCTGAAGTGAGGATCTCACAGCTCTTCTCGACCTCCTTTATCTCCTTGGTTATTTAATAATGAAGTGAGAGGTACATTCAGGGAATGACTGTGAACCCATCTAAATTTATATTTTATTTTATAATTAATATTTTAGTTTATTTTATATATTTAATTTTCGTTTTTATTTTATAATTTTCGATTTTTTTACTAAATATTTTGGAGCATGGCTAGAAGGAAGCCTGTGACTCAAGAAGTGCATCGCCAGAGACTTCTGTCTGTGATGGTTTTACACATAAACACAAAGAAACGTGTACTGCACCTTCACTTCGGGCCTGCAGAGGGCGCTGCTTCACTGGGCGTACCCAGACGTGTGTCGTCACTTCCTGGCGGGCTTCTTTCTCTCTGAAACTAACGGATGTAAACAAAACCCGAGAAGTTCCAGTGAACACAGCTTCACGTGAAACAGCCGCTGAAAGCTTTTAATATGGTGAACGTTCAACTCGCAGTCGTAGCCAGGTGCTAACACATTCACCTCTGTGTTTTGGTTTCATTTACCGACAGCGTTTCGCTCGATTAAACAACGTGTGCTATTAGTCCACAGTGTGACCTCAGCATCGGTGAGTAGAAAATAAAGTGCTTCACTTGTGCATTTTATCTTTATATGTTTGTTTGAGCTTCTCATTGTATTAAAGGTGGACTCTACTTACACTTGGACCTAATTGTTAAGTAGTTTGTGCAAGTATTCTTCGCTGTACAGGAAGCCAGGAATATTTCCCTTTATATATTTGTCATATTTCGCCTTTTACTTCACTTCCATATATATATATATACATATATACATATATTGCTATTTTAACAGTGTATCCTGCTGTTTCCCATACAACAAGTTCTTTAGTTACAATTATACTTCTGCCTGCTTGATCTTAATCCAAATTCAGTAGCATATAGCAGGAAGTCATTTATTTTTAATAAATAAGTCTGCAATATTGAATTGACATGATCTTTTTCTTGTGAAGATCCCTCATCACCGCTCTGTGATTGACCATCTGACAGCGTGGGAGACCTCAAACACGATGGAGGACGTGGAACTGAATGATGGTCCTGCTCCTGACAGCTCCAACGTACAGCGGGATACCGCAAACATGCTGAGGTTCCTCTTCCTCATCTACTTCAACACACCAGTTTTGAATTCACTAGTGCAGTGCATGTTCCAAACCTGCCTGCAAGTAATGGGCTGTTTGCTCGGCCTGTGGCGATGCTGGTTGCAGCTTTCTTTCTGAAACTGTAAAGGTGACCTGCAGTCAGGAGCCATGACAAGTAAAGACCAGCTGCAGGACTCAGTCCACCGAACCATGAAGCTGCGTCACCTCAGCTGCACAAAGAGCTGTTCACATGTTTATTATGAAGCTTGACTCAGTCAGAGAACTCTAAACTGGATAAACTGTTGTTGTTGCCGTTGTCGTGATTAACAACGTCACTTTTGTTGATGACTCCCAGCCACCGCTGCTAAAGAGCACTGCTTGCCTGTTTATTCAAACTTCATTAAATTGGACACTTCACTTCCTTGGCCCGTTAACAACACACATGCCTGGGATGAAGGCGATAAGATGAATGGTTCTCCAGATATCTGAGCCACAGTCACACAGAAAATTAGATTTCACCATGCAGTTCTCAGTGACTTAGTGCCGGTTAATCTGTAGTATCACATCCCAACAGCAGTGTGGAAGGTTCCACTTTAAATCCATTAGGCTCATGCACCAATTACAACACTTCTTGACATGAAACAACACCTAGAATCTTTATAATCTCTAAAATCCCTCTCTTGTCAGAATAAAGCAGCAGATGTCCAACCAGTGTTTTGAGATGGCTGTACAGCTCAATGCAGGTATATATGTTTTTTCATCACCCTGTGATATAATGAATCAAACACTTGAAGAATTAAAATCAAGGTTCTTGTGACAGGAAAGGCAAAGAGGTCATGCAGCACATCTGAAGCAGAGAGAGATTTGTGAGTATTTAACCAATGGTGTGGATCTAGAAGGATTATGTTTATTTAAGAATTTATGTTGTAACGCAATTTATACATTTCATCTACATTTCCAGACCAGATTACGTCAGTGAGCTGGAAAGAGTCAAGACAAATCATTTTAACAGCATGTTGACTCTACATAGGTAAACTGCTTTGAAAACATTCTTTATTCTCTTTGATAAATGATGGATTTCTCTGATATATGTTAATACAATATGAAAATATCTGATCTAGAATCTGTAAACCCTGGGTTAACTTTAGACATTAACATTCAACTGGTGTCTTTCAGGATGCAGATGTGGCATGCTATTGGAGAAAAGCTGAAAGAAAACAATTCAGAGGCAGAGTACGTCAACTCCAAACTGAAACAACTCGTACATTTATTTTGTTAACATTTTATGGTATTGATTGACGGTTTTGTAAATTTATATTTTTAGTGCACTGAAAGCTGTAAGCGATCGCTGCATGGCTTTTTGTTCACATATAAAACAACTTCAGAAAGTAAGTAGTCTCTTCTTTTATTGAGTAGATTGGTAGGAGCTCTGCAAGTTTTCTGTTTTACAAATTGACACATGTATTAGGATAAAAGTGTTATTTCTAATTGATTTCAAATTTTTCTACAGGAGTCCAGAGATCTTCAAGATGAAATTACAGAAGTACAGAAGAAGAGACTTGGTATGTTTTGTGGTTCATTTCTAATTTTCATTTGAGTTTTTCTCTGCTCCATGTTCACTTGACAAATGGTAAACAATTCAATTTCTATTAAACAACACATTTATTCTTGTGAGAGAGTAGACTCACTTTGTCAATAATATTTGTGTGTGTAGAGATGAAACGTCTCACTCATGAGAAAATGAAGGAGATGGAGGAGCTGATGTCCAGGAAGGAGCACCCGGATATAGAGAAATACAAAGCAGTGCTGGAGAAAGGCCAGGCGAACCTGGAGAAATATAAAAAGCTGGCCATCATGACCCAGAATGTCCTGAGGGTAAATTGTACAAGAATTAAGAAAATACTTTCTATCACTACAAGGTCTGACTGGTTAATGCATGAAGTGAACTTAGAAGCTGGTGTATTAACACACGTGTCTCTCCTCAGGGCATCCTCCTGGCCTGTAAAGTCAACTGGCTGGACGATCCCAAACTTCGAGACATCGCCATGACACTGGAGGAGATTCCCATCTCTGATTAGGAAAAGGAATCTATTCACTCATATTTATGTTTCATCGT